GGGGGGAGGTGTCAGAGAAGTCCGGCATATGTGCCGCTGGACTGGGCCTGCCCCTCCTTCGCTGCCAGGTTGGCGGCATCCGGAGAGGCTCGCCTCCCGGGGAAGGGGCCGAGCCTGGCCCTGCCGTGCTAGCAAACACGGAGAAAAGGAAAGAACGAAAGAAAGAAAGAGGGCCCCCAAGCCGACAACACACAACATGCCGGCGGAGCAACATTTACCGAACGTACAGTCTGCTGGATGCCCAGGCCACGGGACAGGATCCGATCGCACCAGGAGGGCGTCCGCTCGGAGCCGATGTCGTACGAGTGTGTGCCCTTGACCAGCTTGTAGGTGGGCGGGAAGCGGATGCGTGCTTCATTGAAGACACGCAGCGCATTGCGCGGCTGGTGCGCCCGGAACTGGTCGCGATTCAGCATGGCCGCCAGGGCGTTGAGGCTGCCCCCGCGTTGCAGGGCCTGCCATGCCTCGGCCGGGGTCATGTCCACCCGGTAGTTGAGATCCCCGAAGAAGAAGCAGAACTCATGGTCCAGCGCCCGGGACCCATCGCCGCCATTGATGAAGGCCACCCGGTCGGCCTCGCGTCTGGCCGAGGGGAACTGCGTGGACTTCAGGATGGCGGCCGCATCGGAGTCCCGGTCCTTGGAGCGTGTTTGCCCGGCAGCCAGGTGACAGTTCAGGAAGCAGAAGGACGAGTCCAGCACCCGCAGGCGGACGCCGACCGAGCCCTACGCGCGCGCGCGCGCGTCACACACGAGGGACCACACAGAGGGATGTCAGTCTGCCACTTTGAGGAGGAGGAGGAGGGGAGGAGGAGGAGGAGGAAGAGAAGAAGGAGGAGGGGAGAGAAGTCGCAGCGCAGCGACAGCAACGGCGGCGACGGCCGCAACAGCGGCCGCGATGGCAGCAGGGCCGCACATGCCGCGGGCGTACCTTGTTCCCGGCCTTGCCGCCGAGGCCGGTCTTGGTGGAGTCCACGGCGACACTGCGCACAAGGGGGCCAATCTTGTCGGCCGCAAAGACGAAAATCATCAGACCGATCATGGCCTTGGAGTCGACGCATGTGAAGTAGCGGTTGGGATGCGCATAGCGTAGCGCGCCGCTGATGGCTGGACGGCGTGACGCCCAGGACGCGTGGGGTTAGCGGGTCCGCTGGCCGGTGGTGGGCATGGCCGAAAGACGACGGGGCAGATGGGGAAGCTGAACACGCACTGTGATGCCAGTTGGACAGGGCCTGCTCCGAGCGGACATCCTTCAAGAATTGCTTGGCATTCTTCCGGTTCAAGTCCAGCTCCACCACCTCTTGCAGACCGATGACCAGGAGGTCCGGCACATCGCCGGGCGCCGAGGCCGGGGGGGCGGACCCGGCCGCGCGCCGGAACCGCCCGCTTGGGCCCCCTCGCCGGAAGGCATCACATCCGGGGAAGAACATGCGCGCCAGATTGACCGGGCCAATGCTGAAGGGTGACGTGCCGGACACATTCCAGCTGAACACACCGACATGGGCGTCGGTGTACTGGCAATACAATGCCTCCTGGGCCTTGAGCGACAGGAGGATCGAGTCCGCTCGCAGGAGACTGTCCCAAAAGCGGATGCGGCCATTCTCCGCCAAGCTGGCCGCCGTCGACAGGAGCGAACTCTGGGGCAGGACAATCTGCAAGACCGGGGACTTATGCGCCCTGGGGTTATCACAGCAAAGGGGGCCGGAGCCGGAGCAGGGTCCATGGCGAGGGAAGGGGAGGAGGAGGAGGCAAGAGAGAGAGAGAGAGAGCGAGAGAGAGGGAGGGAGGTGGTGCTGAGGGTCAGTCAAAAGACAAAGGTAGCCCCGCCGGGTAGCCAGCCCTCCATCGGGACCATGTTGCCGGTGCGGGCTGGCCGAAACGCACTTCCACTCCTTGGCACAATTCCAGTTGTCCGACGCATCGAGGATGGCAATCTTCCCGCTGCCGAAGCCCACCCACAGGAGCGGCGAGTCGGTGATCGCCGACAGCGAGGTGACCGGCTCGCCCATCGTGATGAAGTTGAACAGGTCGAAAACATGCGACCCAGAGGCGACCAGCGCCCCGTGCACCGACCCGGGCCGGGCAGATGAGCCGCCGGCACCGGCGCCGGCACCGGGCGACGTGACCGCGCTCAGGCCATACGGGCGCTTTCGCCAGATTACTGTGGCAGGGCCCGCCGCCCCCGCCCAGAGAGATAGAGAGAAAGAGAGAGAGAGAGAGAGAGAGAGACCGGGGCAAGCGAAAGGTAAGTCGGCCGGAGTGAAAGGGGAGCATGACAATTGGGCAGGGAAGCCCATGGCAAGAGGGGAGCAGACACATGAGGATGCACATACGGATTCGTCCATCCTGGTGCCCGGTGCACACGTATTCCCCATTCATGAGGGCTGCCACGCCGGTGATGGTGCTGGCCCCGGAGGACGAGGCTTCCAGAGCGGCACGCTTGGCCGCCCCGCCGCTGGGCACATTGCTGGCGCTCTCGGCACCGGAATCACTCACCGGGCCGCCGGAGCCCGTCCGCATGGCCGAGGCCACCGACATGGAACGATGGTGCCGACCAGGGCCCAGCGCCTCGGCCGGCACCTCATCCCCACCGAGGAGCGAATCCTCGGCGGCGGCAGACTCCGCAGCAGCAGCGACAGCCGCACGCGCCGCCGCGTGGAACACCCCATCGGTGTCCAGCGACTGGCAGCGACGGGAATTGAAGTTGGAGAAGACCCACGCACGATGGCGCTTGGCAAGCCAAAGGGCCGATGGCTCGTACACGGACACATTGGCCTCCTGGCCGCCGGCCGCTCGGACTGGCACCTCGCCGATCAGCTGCGGCGGAATGAAGACCGATTGCGTGGCGCGCGTCACCCCAAGGTGGACATACTCCACGGTGAACTGGTCAAAGAAGCCGCCCAGCAGCGAGGCATGTGACACCGGGGTGGCCGGCTGTCGCATCGGGGCGGAAGGGGTCCGGGCAGGCGAACCGTCGGGCCGGCCAGGGCACAGGCGGCAACAGGCGGAAAAGGGAAGAAAGACAGGGAGAAGGGGAGCGAATGAAGGGACGTGAGTCGGTGCGACAGGGCGGCGGAGCGCCCCGGGGCGTCAGCGCGGAAGCGAGGGGCGCCACGCACCTTGGAGTTGAAGATGGTCACCGCGCCATCGGCCGACAGGGCCACCACCCGCGGGGGAATGTATTGTCCGGTGTCGGAGGACACGCCGAGCGGGGTGCCTGGATCGAAAAAGAGGGCCACCAGCTCGATCGACGTGCTGTCGGTCGAGAGCTCGACCCCACCGGCGGCGTCCGGGCCGCCCGGGATGGGCGAGGGCTGCTGTGGGCCAGCCGGGCCGCCGGACCCAGGCTCGGCCGTCGGCAGGACGGGCCGCACGGCATCTGGCGTGGACAGGAAGGCAGCGGTCGGGGCTGTGGGGAGGGAGGTTAGGGAGGATGGAGAGCGGAAGGAAGGGGGATAGGCGAGGGATTTGGCGCATGACCATGCGTGTGTATGGTATGGGTGCATGGCGCGACAGAGGCAGGCGACAAGTGATGGTGCAAGATAAATACACGCTCGCGGCGGGGGGAAAGAAGAGAAAGTGCCGCGGGGCACGACTTGGGGCTACCGGAGCCCGGACGCACCGATCGAAGTATGGGCATCGGATGGGGCCGGGGCGTGGCCATCGACTTGCGCATCGCCAGCCCCGGACCCTGGCCGCCGCCAAGTGGCCAGCAGGACCCCGGTGGCGATGTTGAAGACCAGCAGACTGCCATCCGAGCAGCCGGCCCACACAATCGTACCCTTGATGTCAAACGGGCAGAAGACTGGGCCACCGCAACCAGACCGCCCCAGGCAGGCAAGAGGAAGGTGAGGAGAGAAGCGGGGGGGGGAGGAGAGGAGGAAAGAAGAGGGAGAGGGAGAGGGAGGGAGGGAGAGAGATACGACAGGCAGAGGGCAAGGAGGACACAAACGAGGGACACGCACTGAGCGAGTTGACCTTCGAGGTCTCCAACTCGAAGCACCCGGTCTTCAAGCACTCGCCGGACTTCATGGACCAGGACCGGATGCCGGAGCTGCCAGTCAGCACGACCCCGTCACCGACGATGAAAGACCGGACACTGGTCCGCGCGCGGAACTTCTTCACATACACCGAGCTCGGGTAGAGCGGCGGCTGGTAATTGCACCGGGCGTAATCCGGGATAATGCCGGCCGGAGGGGCAACTGTGGCCGCCCCGGCGGCGGCCACATTGGCAGTAGCGGCAGCAGCAGCAGCAGCAGCAACACCAGTTGTGGCAATGGCCGCAGGTGCTTCCTTCCGGGGATGCTGCACATGGTGCGCGTGCTGATGCTGTGCCGATGCCGGCACGGAAGCGAGTGGCACCGGCAGCTCGAGATCCTTGCCCACGGCCGAAGGCGCCCCAGCGATGGACGTGCCCAGTTGGGCACGCGCCCCGATCGGAAGGAAGGCCCCGCCCGAGGTCCCGGGCAGCGAGGGGCGCCGGAGGGAGCGCGAGATGCGCGCCAATCCGGCCAAGGTCTCGGAGCTGGGAGAGCCAGCGTGTGACTGCCGGGGGAGGGGCAGCTGCCCGGGGGGGCCGCCGGCTGGCGGGGCAATGCCGATGGCACTGGCGCGCAGATTTTCCATCCCAAGCAGGGGATTGCTCAGGTCGCCGAGGTGGTCCAGCATGTCGGGAGAGACGCTGTCCGGCGGATGGCCCCGTGTAAGTAAGTAAAGCCCACGCACCATACGACGTGCGGGATGCGCAGATGGGAGCGGAAAGGGGGGGGGCGGAGAAAGAGAACGAGAGAGAGAGAGAGAAGCAGACAGGCAGGGAGGGGGGTAGAAAGAAAGAACTTCCAAGGGAAAGGCACATACCCCTCCTCCATCATGTACCACGCCTCCGGGCCGAGGATGGCCAGCTCGTCCTGCATGGCCATCACCGTGTCCAGGAGCCGTGGCCGGGGCACCGGTGCCCCGGCCGGCAGAGCGGGCCCGCCCTCAGGCCCCTGCCGGGAGGTGGAATCGGCTAACGCGACGAGGCGAAGGGCCGCGCGGAGGAAGCCAGAGCCGGAGGACAAGGGAAGCAGACACAATAAAAGGGGTTAGGCCTGAGGTGTGAGAAAAAAACACACACAAAAAGGGAGGGAGAAAAGGGCAAGCGGAAGGCGGTGAACGACGCACCGAGGCTCGCCGAGGAGGCGGAGGCGAACGGCTCGGCCGCCGGCGCGAGGGCATTTTGCTGCTCGGCCGCTCGGCGCAGCTGGACATATCGCTCGAAGGAGCCACCGGCCCCGGCGGCAAGATCAGCCAGCGAGGGGCCGCTCTCGATCGAGCCGCCCGAAGAGGCCGCCGTGGTGGCGGCCATGCTGGCGGTGGTCGGAGTGCTGGGGGTGTCGCTCGCGCCGTCGGCCGGATCCTCGACGCCATCGAGCGCCAACGCCGGCGGCGACAGCAGCAGCACCGATGGCGGACTCGCCGGAGAGGCGGTGCCCATGGCCATCAGCCCAGGGCTGGAGGCCACATGTAGCGGCCGGTAGGCGGCGCCGGCGGCGTGCGGGCTGCCGATGCTGGCCGGTGGCGGGGTGCTCATCATCGCCCGGGGGCTGGCCGGCAAGGCCGACATGGCCGGACTGCCATCCGGCCCGGGGGTGGAGACGGCCGTGATGCCGGGCGACCCGCTGGCAGCAGGCCCGGCCAGGGTGGCCGTGATGACCGGCTGCAGGCCGAAGGTGCCGGACCGGAGCCGGCCACGCTGGGGAGTCTCGCTTTGGCTCATGAGGCGGCTATAGTGCGAGGGGGGCGGCCGGGCGGGCAGGGCCCCGGCCGGGTCATCGGCCTGGCCGGACCCGCTGGCAGCAGGCCCGGCCAGGGTGGCCGTGATGACCGGCTGCAGGCCGAAGGTGCCGGACCGGAGCCGGCCACGCTGGGGAGTCTCGCTTTGGCTCATGAGGCGGCTATAGTGCGAGGGGGGCGGCCGGGCGGGCAGGGCCCCGGCCGGGTCATCGGCCTGGCCGGTGGCCGCGGCATCGGCCTCCGTCAGCTGCCGAAGGAGTTGGGCCACCTCCTCCGAGGAGGTGGCCGCCCCTCCGGTCCCGGTCGAGTGGAGGGAGTCGGTCGAGCGAGAGGCCGACGGCGAGAGAGCCATGAAAGACCGGCGCCCGGCCGGCGAGGGGGACCCAGCGGACAGCGGGGCCGACGGGCTCGGGGCCATGCCAAGGGGGAGCACCAGCCCGGGGCGCGGCGGGCCGAGTGGCGTGTCGCTGGTCACCGGCGAGGGGGTGCCGGCCATGTCGCCAACCGGCGACGTGGCCATTGTCCCTGCCAGCGACCCACCGAGGTGGTCGCCGCCAAGGAGAATCTCCGGCGGCAGGTGCGTTGTCGAGGAGGGCCCTCGCCCGGAGGGGGCACTCAGGTCACTGGAGGAGGCTGCCAGCGAGCCGGAGCTACCGTACTGCATGGAAATCACTCGACTCAGGCGGCGTCGGAGTGCTTGGCTGCGCACGCGGCCGAGCCCGGGGAAGGGGACATTGCCATCAGCAGCGGCAGAGGGTGGGCCAAATGCCGGCAGGCGGAGCAGCCAAAGGAACAAGAAGAGGGACGGCAAGAAGAGGGACAAAGCCCCGGCGAGAGGGCACGCACCTGGTGCTCAGGCTGCCGGCCTGCGACCCGGCCGTCAAGTCACTCAAGCTGCCGAAGGAGGGCTCCAAGCGCGGCCCGGGCGAATCCGGCTGCAACAGACTCGGCAAGTGGGAGGCCGATGCCGAACCACCAACATCGCACCGTGGGATGGGCATTGACGAGGCGGCGGCCGTGGCCGTGGCCGTGGCCGTGGCCGCAGCCGCGGTGGCCATCATCGGTGACACCGGTCTCGGCGAGGGGGTAGTCTCACTGGCTGCCTCGTCGTCGGAAGGGTCCGGCGTGGCCTGCTCATCACCCTTGTCGGCATCGGCCGTCGAAAGCAGCGTGACTGAGGCCCGGCATGGGGGGTCGACGACAATCGTGGGAACCACCGGGCTGGCGGACACGGCCGGAGCGATCGGCAAGTCGATTTGGATGGTGACGGTGCTGCTGGTGATGATGGGGCCACCGATGACCGAGGGAAGCCGCGGCCTGGCTCCGATGGGGGAGGGGACTTGGGACCGGGGGATGCCACCGACGGCGCCAGGAGTGGTAGTGCCGCCGCCGCCGCCGCCGCCGCCGCCGCCGCTGCCGCCGCCGTCGCTGCCGGTGCCGCCATTACCACTGCCACCACCACCGCCATCCCCAAAGTTGCCGCTGTCACTGGTGCCGTCCATGTCGAGCCAGCGCTGGCGCAGGGCGTGGAAGGAGGCCCGGTTGGCATCCGGCGCGGCGGAGGAGCTGGCTTCGGGGGGGCACATGGTGCTCATCGGCGCGTGGCCGAGTGCGGGAGGAGGGAGGAACCGAACCGCGGGGCGAGTGGCGTCGGCAACGTTGATGCGTTGGTGGCCGCGCGGCTCTCGGCCAGACGGGACACGGGTGGGGGATACGTGGCGACGGGGCGAGAAGAGAGAGAGAGAGAGAGGGGGGGGGGCGGAAGCAATCGCAGTGGCTGGGGCGGAGGGGAGCAGAAGAGGAGGCGGAAGGCGGGAGGCGGAAGGGGAGGGGGGGGGAGAGGAGAGATGCCTGTGCCCCTCTTTCGCGAGGGGGGACCGGGGGGCTGGCCGCTTTTTCGTGCCCGTGATGGGGGGAAGTCCCCACCACGGGGGGAGGGTGGGACGCCCGGAGGCGGGCGACGAGGGGTAAGGCGATTGGCGGGCGCCCGTTCGCGACCGGCGCTGCCAACCATCTTGGACTCCGGGCAGATGGGGAGAGCGAGAGAGAGCGAGAGAGAGAGAGAGAGAGAGAGAGAGGAAGAGGAAGAGGTGGGCGGATAAACCGCTGCTGCCGCCGCCGCCGCCGCCACGACCACCGTTCCCCCGCCCCTGTTGGACAGCCGATCGGCCACACAGGCCCGGGCCGCCGAGGCGCGCAGGGAGGGGGGCTGAGCAAGATCCACCGCGCCCGGCTCGGCTCCCCGGGCTCGCTTGCCAGGAGCGGCCAGAAAAAAAAAGCGCCGCACAGCCGAGGAATGCATTGGCCGCCGGACCGTGGGGGAAGCGGGGACAGGAAGGGGGGGACTCATGGGGCACACGGCCCCCCCCCCTCCCCCGTGTACCTCCTCGATTCGCTAATGTGCTGGCTGGGCCTCAATCGCCAGCCGCAGGGCGAAAGTGGGCAGATCTTCCGCGTCCATGGCACCCAGGCCTGGGCTTGGGCGGCATGGAGGGGGGGGAGGGGTGGGGGTGGGCGGAGGACGGCTCCTCGCCCCGCCCCCGGACCCCGGGCCCCCAGGAGAGGGGGGCAGCAAAAGGGGGAGACTGGCCCCGGCCCCGGTCCCCCGGCCTGTGTGGCCCCCCCCCTTTCCCGTCCCCCCACCGAGGGCCGACCAAGACGGACCCGGTGTGTCGGGGCTGGGGCGCGGAGGGCGGGGGGGGGGCGGCTCTTCAGGGGTGGATGCCCGGCGGCAGCTGGGCGCATGTCCAGCCGCTCCGTCGCGCCCTCCCCCCCCCCCCCCTTGGGCTGCTGTTGGTCCGAAGCAGGGGGTGGGGGCTGGTTGTTTCTTTTGGCCTGGCTTTCTGGGTGGGAGGAAGCCCGGACCGGCGGCCCTGGGCTTGACTCGGCCCCGCCCACACGGGGCCCGGGGTGCCCGCATTACCCCGCCTGCGTGGAGGCTATGCGTACGTACGTACGTACATGTGCATGCGTGTGTACGTGCGTACGTACATGTGCATGCGTGTGTACGTGCGTGCGTGCGCGCGTGTGCGTCTGGGGGGGGGGGGAGCCCTGAACCGCCGGCCGCCAGCGAGATCCACGCACGGATGGCCCTCCTCTCGCGGCTCGGCTGGGGATGTGTCCAGTAGATGCCCAAATCGGGGGCTCTGTGGGTGGGGCATTCGGCCGGGGCTGTGCCGGCGCAAACGAAGAGGCCCCCTCACCCGAGGAGCAGGAGGGGGCGCGAGGAATAAACAAACCGCCTGCCCGGGAGGCGGGGGGAAGGGTCTTTCTCGGAAAAGAAGCGCGCCCTCCCCGGCCAGTAGCGACGGCGGCACCGCTCCACTAAAGAAGAAACCCGCCCCGCCGCACGTCCACACCGCCCCAGCGAGGGTGCGCCCGAAAGGGGGGGCCGGGGGCCGGGCCAGGCGCAAGACCGCTGGTGAGTGCACCAGGGGGGTGCCAGCGCCCTAAAGGCCAGCGGCTGCCCAGAGGGGGGTGCCCAGGCGGAAGGGCGGCCGAGGGCCGGCAAATTCCTGCCCGTGGCTCTGGCCTCCTGCGCGCATCAACACCGCCAGGAGCGTGCCGGGGGGGGGGGGAGGGGGGGAGCGGGGGCCGGGCCGGGCCGACCTGGTCCCGGAGCCCCTCTCCAAGCGATAATGGCGGAATTCCCTTTTTGCTACCCTTCCCCCGCCGGCGGCGGGGGGGGGGGGGGGGGCATACACATGTATGTGCACGCCGCCCGCGCCCGCCCAGGCACGTCCCCAAAAAGGGCAGGCCAAGGCCGGGCGCGCACACAGCCACGCTTCTAGGCGTATGCCCCCGCCCACCAAGGAGCGGGGTGCAAGGCTTGCGCGATTAAGTGTCCCCTTCGCGGATCTCGCCCCCCGCCGAGGCGACCCCCCTCTGCCCGCCCGCCCGCCCTGCACAAACCCGCGGACGGAGTGTAGGGGGGAGGGGGGGGGGGGCTGGTGTCGCGCGCCGCCGGCAAAAGCGCCGCACCATCCGCCCAGGGATCTATTGCCAACGCTCGCACCCTCTTCCTCCCGGCGATCGGCCCCCCCCCCTCCGGCCGGGGAGCGGCCTCCTTCGGCCTGTTCGTACATGCCCAGCATCCGCGGCCACGGATGCGCTGGCTCTGGCAGCGTGCGTTCTTTTGCCGGGGGGGGGGGGGGGGGACTGCCTTCGCCCGTTCCCCCCCACCCCCTCACTGCGCCCCTGCGCCCCCTTCGTATCCCTCACCTCGCCCCCTTTCCCTCTCTGTATGAGCTTCTACGCGCCTCGCCGGCAGGAAGGATGCCACGACAGTGCCGGGGTGCCAAGAATCGAGCTGGTGCTATTAACTCGCTGCCACACAGTTACAGGAGACCGAGCTGCTGGGCGCAGTTTCGTCAGGGCCCTCTCTCCCGGGTTAGGCCCACGTCAAGTGGGTGAAAATGGCCGAGGACATACTGGAAATCTAGCGGCCGTTGGCGACCTCCGGATGGATGGGGAGGGGGGGGCGCCCTGTTGTCTGTGCCCGGGAGAATCGGCCACCCGGCCGACGCACATGGGGCCCGGGTGGGTAATAAAAGGAGAGAAAGGCACGGATTAGAAAAAGGCCGATCGAGCGGAAGCCCGAGAGAGCAGGTGTCCGCAGTACGAGGAGACCAGCACTACTTCTCGGCCATGCTCTTCAATGCACAACTGCTGGATGGCTTTCGCGGCCCAGAGGCAGCTCGGGGAAGCCCCCCCCCCCCCCCTCCAGACCTCCGGGCTCGGCCAAGGGGTAGATCTGAAAACCCTGCGGCCGTGTGTCCGCCCGCTTGGGTATCGCCGTCCTTCGTCGGGCACGCGCATTGCCCAATCCCGGCGGCCAGTGGTGGGGGGCTCTTGTCTTATCCGGCATTCCTCCTCTTTGAATGGTGTTCGGCGACATACCCATCTCACGTGCGTTTATCGGAGGCTATGTAACCCATTCCGTAACTCGACGCGCTGTTTGGGTTTCTCTTCGGGAGGGAGGATCTCATGACCACCGTGGGCCTGTGGGACTCGTCAGAGAACTTGGCGGGCCGCGGGTGGCGGCACTTTCCCAGACACTTGCCGCTGCCTGTGAAGGAAGCCCATCCTGGGCGGCGGCGGCGGCGGCGGCGATCAGCTTTGCGGACAAGGAACATTTGTTCTAGCGCACTGATCGCGTTCGTGACCCCCCTACCTGGCGGTGGTGGCCGGTCGGGGTGTGCATGGCACGCGCGCATGCTGAGCTGGTTGAGTGGGGGGGGGGGGGGAGCCCTGGCGCGCATGCCGGGGTGGGCGTGAGTCCACACGCCCGAGGGTGGGGGGGGAGAGGAACTGCCCCGCCACGGGGATCTTCCAGGGGGCCGATCGTTCCCAGCTTCGCTGGACACTCTCGGCCCGGGCCTTTCCAGCATGCATGCGCAGGTACACCGAGGAGGGGAAATGCGTGCGCGATTGTGAACTACGCACGGAAAGACCTGGAGGCCGTGTGTGGACACGAAAACCCGACGATGGGGCTGCCCTAGCACCCATACACCATAGGACAGGCACGGCCGGGTCTGGCCGCCGCCTCGCGAAGCGCGCCATCCGTTCTGGGACATTTTGGCCGAGGCCTGCTCAGCTTCGCCCCCCCCCCCGGCTGGCTCGGGGGGCCTCCCATCGTCGGGTCCCAGGGCGGCAGACGGTCCCCCGGCGAACCCTTCTCGCCTTGAGGAGCATTTTCCGGGAAACGATGAGAGCACGCGCCCGGCGGTGGCGCGCCTAGTGCGCATGTGCCCGCCCCCGGAGGGGATGGGGGGCAAAGCGGCCGGCGGGCAGGCAAAGCAAGAGGTGCCTGTTTCCCTGAAGCAGAGCGGCATGGGGGCGGCGGAATATCAAGGACCGAGGGACAAAGAGTGGCCGGGCACATTCTCACGGAGGGCGCCCTCCCTCCCTGCCCCTCCCTGGCGCGTGGCTGTCCAGGCGACCCATATCAGTTCCTAATGCTGCTTGCGAGTGCGTGCAGGGCTGTGGCCCCCCTGCCCGGCGCGCATCTGGGCCAGCGGGGCAGCCGACACACCGCCCCGGCCGCATGCTCCGCCCCCGGCGACGGGGGGGGGGGGGAGACGACGAGGGCCTGCAAGGGCGGGCGCGCGAGCAGGCTGCTCACAATGGTCGGTGGCCTCGCCGGGGGTGGGGGGAGGGGGGGCAGCGAGGCCGACAGAGCAGCTGCAACACCAGCACCAGCAGTAGCACAGAGAGAGAGAGAGAGGCGGCGAAGCACAGGCTATTAACATGACCGCGCGCGCAACACACAGGGTCGGTGTCCGACAGGGGGGGAGGGGATGAGGATAAGAGCCACGCCGCCCAGGCACACCCGCGGAGCTGATGGCGGCCTGACACAGGCGACCGGGAGGGAGCCGCACGGAAAGTTGCAGGTGCGAAAGGAGGCCGGGGACGAGGGGGCAAGCACACTGTGTGGGCGGGGAGCGGGGGGGGGGGGGGGGGGGCCATCCAACAAAACCCAGGGGATAATTGGTGCACAGGCGCGATGGCCTCGTGTCCGGGGGGGGGGAGGACGGAAAAAAAGGCCGGGGCCCGCGCGAGCGGACCCGGCGCGCTCTCACACCGCCCCCGGGGCAGGACGAGGCGAAGGGCGCACCGAGTTCGTCGGGCGGAGTGTCATCTCGGCGGTGCCAGGGGTTTCATGCCCTTCAATGGTCGATGCACCGGAAGGCCCGGGGCGAGCGGGGCCACCAGCTCCGGGCCTGTGGACGAACAGGCGGGAGCCCCCTGCGCGAGCGCGAAGGAGGTGGCCGCGGGGCTGGCAAGTGCGCCCGCCTGGCCCCCGGCCCCTTGACCCATCCAGAAACGAAGGCCGGGCGACCACGGGGGCCAGAACGCGTAGCCCGCAGCGGGAATGCACAAACAACGGAGTCGGAGGTCGCCCTCGGTCCGACGAGCCTGCACCGGAGGCGCGGGCCGCCGGCGACATGCGGCGCACTACGCGCGCTACTTGAGATGGGCGCATGTGAGGCCGGCGCAAGCGAGACAATGCCGCGGCACGGGCCGGCCGGAGGGCCGGGGACGAGGCTCGCCCGTAAGAGCGTGCCATCGGCGAGCCGACGGCGCCTGTGGAGGCCGCGCGGCGCATGTCCCCTCACAAGACCGGGGCAGGGGGAGAAAATGCCCAGGTGCACTTGCACGGGCCACACACGCGTGGCCATCACACAGAGAATGTGCACACGCCTGCATGCGTGGGGGGCCCCGCCCATCCGGGCACCGAATGCTTGGCAGGCTTGCCGGCGCCGCGGTCTCCCGGATCCACGCTGGGGCCGGCAGGACATCTTCTCCGCCCCGCACCGCTACCCCTTCCCCGCGTTCCCCCTCCCCTCGCCCCCTGGGGGATGCCGCTCCGGGGTCGCCCCCCCGTCCGCCCCTCTCCCTCCGGGCAGGCGCCCCGGGCCGGGGAAACGACGTGCGCGCGCCCCGGGGCCCTTCTTCCCCCACTCTCAATGACCACACCCACCGGTGGAGCAGGGCACGCGGCCAATGACCATCCGACCAATCGATGGCTCGTCAGACCGTCGCGCACCAGGGAGCCCGAGAACCCAGGGCGTCAAGGGGGCACGGGGGCGCGGCCGGAGGGCGAGCAAGAGGAGAGCCCTGGGGCGGGGGGGCGGGGGGGGGGGGGGGGGGGGGCCCGGCCGGGGGGGGGGGGGGGGCGGCACCAGCTCACTGGACACACAAGCCCTTGGCTTCCGGTCTGGACAATCTCCCCTTTCGGGAGATGCCCCCTAGTGAGACAGCATGACCGGCCCGCTCACCCGAGAGCGGACTCGCCGGGGCCGGGGAAGGGGGGGGGGGGGCGAAGACCCAGACACACGCAGGGGAAACGCCTGGCCCCTTTCGACGCGCGGTTGGGACACGACTACCACCAGCCTTCGGCGCCGACGCCCAGAACTAGATGCGGGGCCCGGCGGCCGGGGGCGCTGGAAGGGCGGGGGGCGGGCACCGCGCCCACACCCCCCCCCCCGGTAGCCCAGCTCGACTGTGCTCCCTTCATGCGGGCTCCCCCGCCCTCGGCGGGGATCCACGGCAGATCTCCCCAGCAGGGTGGGAAGGAGCCAGGCAGTCGATTGGCCTGGTGGTTTGGCAATCAGGCACACACATGCACACCTGCGGGACCAGGATGAACAGGGGAACCCGGCGCTGCGGCTCGCCCATCATGCCTCTTTGAGCCATATTTATGGTCTGACATTTAATAACCCCTTATTGTTGCCACTTTCACATCGTACAGCCTCGCTTTTCGCTTTGACTATTTCCTCCAGGGGTGGTGGTGATGTGTGGGGGAGGGAGGGGTAGTAGCTGCGCATGCCGGTGTGTGGCCTTTCTCTGAGTTAAAGGGGAAAGCTGGCGGGGGGGGGGGGGGGGGGGGGGGCAACGACCGTCCCCGAGGTCCCCCTCGTCTTGCCCACGCTTCCATTCTCCGCGCCCGAGCCTCCCCGGCCTCATCTCGCCCACGGGAAAAGAAGCCCAAAGAAGTGGCAACTGGGCCTGCCCCGGGCTCCCAGCCCATGCTCTCTGCGTGCGTGTGCGTGTGTGTGTGTGTGTGTGTGTGTGTGTGTGTGTGTGTGTCTGCCCTCCTCCTCGGTCATGCATTCCCGGCGAGAGGTGGCCACGACCGCCCGAAGTCGTGCCTCCGCCAGGGCGGACGATGTGCCGGGGGGCTCATCGTCCCGCGGCTCATGCTCACATCCCACAGGGGAGACCTCCGTCTAACCCGGGGGCAATGGTGCAGACGCATGGGAGGGGCAGAGGGGGGGGGGGGGGCCGGGCCGACTCCCGGCATGAAAATCCACATATCAGCCCATCCCCTCTCCGGCCGGCCCCCGGCCGCCGGTCGCGCTCTAGTCTCTCTTGGGCGAATCGGCGGGGGAGAAGGCGCCGCACCACGGGGCGCGCCTCAGCGGTGGCCAGCCGTGTGTCCCAAAAGAAGGCTCCCGTATATGGGCCCCTTTGTCTGAGGGCTGCCGTGTGTGTGTATGTGTGTGTGTGTGTGTTTGTCTTCCGAACGCGCAGGCTGGGCGGGCAGGCGGGCGCCCCACCGAGGCGGCAATATTGCCTTGCTTTCTGTATCTCTCTCTCTCTCTCTCTCCCTGTCCCTGGCTCCCCGCGCTTGTTTGCACCCGCTCGGTCTTTTCACGCTCACGGAGATCGGGGATCTATCGAACCTGGTGGCCAGTCCCCTGGCCATCCCCGTTGCTTGTGCCGCCAGCCGGCCGGTGCCAGTGTTGTTGCTGCCGCTACCGAAGCAGGAGGCCTTTCTCCCCCCCCCACCGTACCCTCGCCCGCCTGGGGCATCTCTCTCACACAGGTGCCCGCAGCTGGGAGCCACCTCCGCCGCTTGCTTTTGATGGCGCACCTCGTAGTTCATGGTCGATGGCGACTTGAGTCCACCTACCCTTCTCGGGACGGGCCTCGCCCCGGGAGCAGGCGCGATGATGTGGGCAATGGTGAGGAGGGTGATGATCAGCAGCCATCTTGGCGGCCTACTTGCCAGGAGTCCCCAGCGGATTTCCCCCCTCTCTCCCTCACACCTACCCCTCCCCCCTCCCCCTCCCTCCCACACCCACGCGGCCTCACATCGTCCTCTCTTTGTTGATGCCAGCTCGCCTCCTCGCTGCTCTCTGCCCTTTCCCCACCCCCTCCCTGGGCGCCTGGTACGCCATTTCCCCGCCTCGCCTCAGATCGCACTACGACCTGCCGCTCGCCTGTCCTGATGCCTGCCTGCCTGCCCTGATGCTTGTCTATTGTGCCGCTCTTCCTCT